AAGGGACTTTCAAAGGAAGATGGAGGAGGAGGCCCAAGTTGTGGAGGTGGGGGAAAGGTCGAACAAAAAAGAGACGTCTCCAGTCCGCCTTAAATCTCAACTCCAGAAGGTATAGCCCCGGCGATTCGCAAAAAAAGGGTGTTTATTTTTAGTTTGGGGCGGAAACCACCCATGTCAACTGTATTCGGCTGCGCCATGCGCCTTCACCGGGTGATGGGGGTAGACGGGCATTATGGCGGGGAATAAATACACGATGATCGGTCATTCGTTGCCCGCCGTCCAGAATGGCAAAAAGATTCTTGCCTTTTCCTCCTCAAAGATCTAGAGAAGGAGAGGCCCTCGATCGTTTCAAGTCTCGTTGACCAGTAATAGTAACAGTGAGTATACTGAGGTTTAACTTTTCACTTGTCCATTCTACAAGCATCGGCTATCCATTTTCTGCAAAACCCATGTCATCAGTACCGGGTGCTGTCGAACATGCAACAAGAAAGGGTTCTATGTTCCCAGACGCCATGCAAGTGTACCTGGAAGTGTGGTCACCCCAGAAGTAAGCTATAGTATCTCCATAAGACAAATCCAATCGAGGTTTGATCTTTGGGTAAAAAAAAAAGGAAAGCAACCGTTGGGCAGTCTCTAGGATCAAGGCTAAGATCCTGAGCGCATGGAGGGCGGATGTAACGGAAAGAAAACTTTTTTGATTTCCATATTGGGAAGAACTATGCTCGGAGTAAACACTGACAAACAATTGAACCTTCATCCGTCCGTCGATCTCTCCTCCGTCCTTCATGTTCCGAAGGTCTGCCAATGCCGACACCGTCCGTTCCAAAATTACTTGAGTCGTTAATAATTTCTCTGCTACCTGCTTTCCATTTCTTCATTTTGCGAAATTGTTCACAAGATAATCCGTTTAACACATGCAGCTTCTTAGAGCCGACGCAGGTTAAATTCCCATTGTGATTCCCCAGCAACCGCCTAGAAAAAGATTTGATCGCTTGAGAAAAACTTGCATGTTTTTTTTTCTTTTTACCCACATTTGCGTACGGCTGAACCATTGAGGCCGAGTGGAAGATTTTTTGGAGCATCATCCGCTCAACGCGCGCGTGGACGAAATCGAATTACACGAGCGATCGATGAAAGGCGATTAGCCGATATGTTTTGCCGACGCTTAAAAATTGATGATTGCGGCACCTATGTGGGGTGTAGTGTCTAGTTCTCTCCAGGTAAAGATAGAATACATAGGACCGATAAACCGGGCCAAAATTGCTGGTGACCATGTGCTCAACCAGCATGCCAAGTAATCATAATACTAACGGTAACCAGAGTGCTACGCGCGCTTATTAGAAGACTATACAGTGGCACATGATATGTATTCACGTACGAAGAGCCCTGAACGATTCCAATATGAGGGGGAACAACCTGGAACAACTTTGACAAGAGAATTGCACATGGCGACTGAGACCGCGTACATAACGCTCCAAGGTCACCAGGCTGAAATCCATCATCATGATCAATCACCACACATGGTTCCAATCTTACCCGGCGTATAATCGATCCCATGCTTCTCACTCTCTCTCCATTCTGAAACTGCACCATGATTATTGAGGGCCCCGTCCTTAATTGACAATACTTAGATGCTCCTGGGGTTGGGATATTATTGATTGAATGGGTTACTAAAACACAAAGAGTAGACTAAAAAAAATGCCATGCGAAACCAGCGACAAACGCATCAAGTAAAAGCGCTCATGACGTCGCATCTACCAAAACGCCGTCTTCTGAAGAATGTCTAACATGGTTCTCTGTCAACACAAGTTTCAAAATTGAGTGTGAGGATTTCTTTTTTTGAACCCGACCGAAAAAAAAACGACTCACCAGCAGCTAATACCTGCTCCCATCCTTCCTCAAAAAGCTCGGGGTTCGAAGCGGGATCCGCGATGGCCGCGGCAAGTTTTGGCCGTTTCTTGCTCTGGAGGTCAGCTTTCCAGGCTTCGACGGCTTTTGATGTGTGACTATAATAATTGGCGAGTAAGACGGCGAAGATATTATAAGAACTTAGGCGGTGTATGTACCTTGGAGCATAGGTGCGAGCAAAGAGCGCGGCTTCAGGAGCCCGTTGAGTTTTCACTAGAAGATCCACACAAGCTCCCGCATCGCCGAGCTGGAACCGGGTCGCGAATGCTAGATTGTTTTGGCCCTTCTCCTCTAAGTACATACAAAAAAATAACTTTGTTAGTCTCTGATCATAATGAAGATGATAAGGGAACGGAACTACGAACCAGCTTTCTCAGCCAATGACCGCAAACCTGCCTGGTCGCCGGTAGCAGATAGCAAAAGCATCAAAGCACTCAGATCGTTTGCCTTTTCAAAAGCCTCCCGTGCGAGATCGAATCGCCAGACCGTCAGTGCACGATCACCTAAGGCCTTCCACTTCAGCTCCGCTTCGTTTTCAGGCACCTCACGAGCAATCTCATGAGCAGCGTCGAGGTCATCAAGTTGAAGAGCAAGGTCGAATTTGTGGTCCGGATCAGTTGTCAACTGAAGCGCAAGCTCCTTTAAGTCTGATTTACACAAAGTCAATTTCGAGGCAAAATGAAAAAAGAAGTTGACTTAAAAGGGAAGATGACGAACCTTTACTTTCCAAGAACCTAGCAACCTTATTTAATTGATCCTTCGGTAGAGTGGGGAGAATCTCGGCTGCTGCATCCATGTCTCCACGCAAAACTGCGGTCTGATACTCCACAACGCTGAGCGATAACGAGTAGCCGTAGACGTGCATATCCTTGTTAGCAAGATACACGCGATTGTGACCGGGCATGTATCCGAGGAGGTAGAGGGGGCTATTTGGTACATTGAACACCGAAGGAGAAGGAGAGAGGGGCAGGTAACTTACGTGTCGAATGGGCTGATAGTGTAGGAATCATTGCCGACAAAGTAGCACAGACGATTGTTGGCAGTGGTATAGACCAAGCAGTCCCCAACCCATTTGGCTGTCTTCACACTAGAAACAGAGGATTTGAGAAGGTCGAAGACTGCACACGAAAGATTCGCTCACCTTTCAGAAACATCGGCAATAACCTCGAATGCCTCTTCCACCCCTTCATCAGTCAAGGGTGATCCCTCCTCGACTTTGGCATCATATGCATCGCGGTCGAAACGAAGAATGTAGAATGAATCATCAGAGATAATGGCGACGAGTGAGCCAGTTCCGGACCAAAATACCTGTCAAATGGATCAAACATGAAGAGGATGATGGACATAACATCGCGGGTACTCACATTCTTTGCATCAACATCAATTCGCCTGACAATCTCGCCTGACTCCCAGTCCCAAAACACGACGAAGCCAGCACCTCGTCCACCGAGGAGAGTTCCACCATGTATAGCATCAATCGCCCAGCTTCCTGAACCTTTCATTCCATTCCCGGTGCGCTCCTTAAAGTTCTTGAACACCTTCAGTTTGACTTTGGTTTCCAAAACGGCGTATGTATTGGAGTCTGGAGCCCACGCGAAAGAGAT